TACCGGAGAAAAACCAAAAAAAAAAAAAAAAAAAAAAAAAATTTTAGAAAACACAAACTCAGCATATCGGACCATCAGACCAGACCTCTAGCAGGTTGGGAGTTCTATTTCCCTTATATATTTGGAGGTCCTATATCATACATCTTATATCAAAAGCCTGGAGGGTGAAGCATAGCTGAGGCACTACTCCCGTGGGGCTAGACACTCCGTGGGGCTAGACTCCAACCTGTGCCTGATGTCACAGCCTACAATCTCCTACTAACCCTGGGAGACTCCACCCTTCGGGTGAGAACTTTAAGGCTCAGAGCAAAAGCACCAACCCTGCCCAATGGGGTAGGAGGCCCATCAGTCAGGGTCTTCTCCCTGCAGCAGCAGTCTACTGTCATTGGCATGCGGGGAGCTTTCCCTCGGTGGGCCTCAGTTTCCCTCACCCTCATCGCAGAAGTCCCAGAAAACGCAGGCGACAGCATGGACTGGGGCTCAAATAGGCCACTGGCCCTCCTCCAGGTCCTTCCTGCTGCTTCTGAAGGTGGCTTTGGTGGTAAGGGGCTACTGAGGCACCATGAGGTGTACGGCTTCCTGTAGAATGTGACACAGGTCATTGGGCCAGCTCTGCTCACCTAACAAGACAGAGAGGGGCCCAGCCCCATGTACCTGAGCAGTCAGGCATGCAAATGAAGCAGCAGTTGCTCAGGTGAACGCGCTCTGTCCCCATGAGCCCTCCTGTCAGGGACTGAACTGCACATGTTGCAGTCCTAATCTTCAGGACCTGTGAATATGACTTTATCTGAACATAGGGGTTTTTTCTTTTTCAGATGTAATCAAGTTAGGATGAAGTCATGGTGTAGACCCTACCCTAATCCAAAATAACTGGTATCCCTTAAGAGGAAATGAGGCCCAGAGAAGTCCGCACATGGACAGTGCTGTGGGAAGACTGGAGCGGACAGAGAAAGATGCTCCCAGGAAGCTTTGGAGAGATGCAACCCTTCCCATACCCCGGTCTCTGACTTCTGGCCTCCTGAGTAGTGAAACTATAGTTTTTGTTCTCAGACTCTGTGGTTCTTTGTTAGGTCCTTAATGGTCAGAACTTCTGGAAACCTGAGCCACGAAGTGATGGTGTGAGAGCCAGGTATCCTGGAGCACACCTGTAATCCCAGCCCTTAGAAGGCTAAGGCAGGAGGATCATCACAAGCTTGAAGCAAGCATGGTTACAGAGTGTAAGACCAGCCTGAACTACAGAGAGAGACCCTGTCTCAAAACACAAACAAAATGGTGGTGTTGGAAGTCGAAGCTCCACCTCTTTGAATTCAGTAATCCAAGGGTTGCCCCAGACCTCCCAGCCCCATCACTGAGCCTCTAGATGGCAGCCCTCCTAATGCATAGGGGAGGCAGCCAGGGAGGGGGGCTGCACAAGCCCAGGTAGTGGGCTCAGGGCCACTTGGCAGGGAATTCTGGGGTCCCAGAGTGTGGTCTGGGGTTACCTGTGGATGATCCTGTGCTTTCCAGTGTGACAGGGGCAAAACAAACCCGGATGGGGAGTCGAGGTGTTCCTGTGTGGTAGGAACCTCTGACTCTGTGGCTCGGGGAGCAGAGGCTGGGCGGGGTGCCTGCCTTGCTGAGGACCTGCTCAGTGGTCCAACACAACATCACCCGCTTGCTCTCCCCAGCCAGCGCTGCCAGCCTGGCCCTCTCCCTCGGCACCTTTGGGCGCCACCTCTGCAAACCACCCTGGAACTCCAGCTGTCCCTGGAGCTGGTGAGCACACTCCCACCTCAGGACTCTGGCGTTCCCCTGCTCGGCCAGCTGGCCTCTGCCCTAACCTCCCCTGCTCCGGAGCTTTCTCGGAGGAGCGCGCCGGCCAGGAGTGTGAGACACCCGCTCCCCTGGTGGCCATCACACGCGGCTGCCCTGGAGCGTGCAGCTGCTAGGGGTCAGAGGAAGGGGTGGACTACAGCTGTGGTCCAAGTGGGGCGTCCCACGGGCTGCTGCAGTTGAACCTGGGCAGGAGAGGGTCAGCCAGCAGAGGAGGCCCCCAGGACTGCGTGTGGCCCTGGAGTTTGAATCCTGCTCTCAACAGCAGGGACTGCTCAGGATAGCCAGGCTTCTGAGGGGCAGGGTCTACATAAGCCACCATGGTGGGGAGAGGAGATCAGAGGGACAGGAGGCAAGGGTGCGCCCTCTCTGTGCTTTGGTAAAAACCGAACACAAAAATAAACATACTGAAGCACCTGGAAAACCTAGCGGAGGCGGGAAGCACAGGGGCGGCGGCGGGACCAGGTGAGCATCTCGCCAGGGCTCCTCTGGGTCCTCCAAAGGCCTGCCTCACCCGTAGGGGTAGGCGGGACGGCGGCGCAGCCCATCTCCCTTGGGGCGGGGCCAGAACGCCACGCCCCCTGCAGGCCCCGCCCCGTCCCCGGCGGCCGGGCTTTCTGCCGAGCGCAGGATGAGCGGGGCGTCTGCGACCCTCGGCCGCGGAGCGAGGCCTCGGGGCCGGGCCGGGACCACCACGCCCGCCCCGGGGAACCGCACAGGTGAGGGCCGGGGTCGCAGGGCCCGTGGGGGGCTCTGCTCTTGTTACACAGACCAGGAAGTCGGGGGACCAAGGGCTGGGGGGCACCTTCCCGACCACCCTCCAGCCCCGCGGACGCCCCGTCGCACACGTGCCGCGGTCCCCCGCGGAAGTCGGGATTGGCGTCCCCTGGAGGGACCTGCAGCTCCGGGCGGAGGAAGGGCCAGCCGGGGCGCCCGCTCCGCGCCAGAGGTCAGTGCCATCTTCGGACTTCCCTAGTGAGACCCTCTAGACCCACTTTACAGATAGGGAAACTGAGTCTGCAGGAGAAGAATGGTTGCCGCGGTTCGCGGGTTCAGGGGTTGACCTAGGTGCCCAGAAGCTCCGAGATCTCCGGAAGGAGGGAAGCTGGCTTTTACTGTTAAGTGTGAGTTCAAAAATATGCTAAAGGAGTTTCACCCTCGCTGCCTTGGTTCCGGGGTTCGAACTCTGGCTTTGCTGCGTGAATGCACGAACGTCTGACTCTTGGAAACGCCTCCCAACCCGAGCCCTGCATCTTCCGCGTCCTGGAAGCGCACTTGGGTGGCTGGGCCAGACCTGAGGGTGACTCCCGCCGAGGCTGGGCTTAGCGCTTAGCTCTCCTCACCCGAGGAAGCTAAAGTCTGTGGAGGTGGGGTCTGGTTCCTGCTTAGCGGTGCAGAAGCTGAGAGTTACACCAGCCCCGGTGTGTTTAGTTTGAAACCCCTAGCCCCTCGCCAGATATGCAGGGTCCCTAATTTGGTGCTCGGGTCAGGGGTGCATTGCTTCTGGGTCTGAGGAGGCCAGCCTGGATCTGATGTCGCTTGGGGACTCACACAAGCGAGCCCCTTACCCACAGCAGCTTCAGGGAGGGGTTGTCAGGCCAGGAGGGGTGGAGGGACCTGCGGAAGGTCAGACCAAGGCCGAGGAGTGACTGGAAGCGCTGGCACTTTGCATGCAAAAGAGCGTTTGCCCTGAACTGGGGGGGGGGGGGAGGGGGCGCAGCTCCAGAGAGCTGCTTCCTCTCCTCTCCCTTAGGTGAGGGCTGGGTCTCAGCCTGCCTGAGCACTTCCCAGATATGAGGCCCCTTGTTAGAGTCTGGGGTGACAATTCCCTTTCTGACCTGAGGTGATCACTCCACCGGTGCCTCAGTTTCCTTATGTGCTAAGTGGTGGGCAGTGTACAGCTGCTCCCAGGCTGTGGACCTGCCAGGTGTACTCTAGGGAGGGCCCTTATCCTGCCAGGGCAGCCGTCACCGGATCATCACCGGATCACCATCACCCCTGTCGTGCACCCTTATCTCTGCTGTGAAGTGGGCAGTGCAGTGAAGGGACGGGGTTTGGGGTCCTGTAGCCACAGCTTGCCTTGATCCAACACATAGCACTCCACCATGGTGCGTTTCTGGTAGTTGAATGGCTGGGCCCTGGCCCTGCTCCCAAGGCAGCCCCTGCACTCCCTAATCTGGGAAATTGTCCAGGAACACAGGGTTCTAGCAACTGGGCCCAACCTCTGGCCCTGCCCAGAAGGGACCTTGAACGGTCCAGAAAGGGAGGCAGCAGGAGGCATCTTCTTTTGGCTTTACCCCTGCAGCCACAGAGCGGGGCTGTGCCCGCTGATCAGAGGGGAAACTGAGGCCCAATGCAAGCAAATGTGTGAGGCTTACCTATCTACTGAGACTGGCTGTGCCTCCAGTTAAGGTGCTGGCAGTGCTGCCGGATAAGAGGCATAGCTCTCTGGAGCCCTAGTCCTTGCCCACTACAGGGGTTTGGGGGAACACTTTTCTTCTGTTGGATTTATCCCAGCCTGGGAGACCCGAGGTGTCAAGGACTCCCAAAGCCTGTCCCATTCCTCCCCGGAGAGATGGGCTCAGAGAGGGAAGGTGACTTGCCTGAAGACACACAGCTACAGGGTTGGGCCTCCCACATTGTTGGGGCTACATGTTATTCCCTCTGCTGGGTTCCTGAGGGTCCTGCTCTCATTGCACCTGTGTGCCTAAATCACCCCTCTGACCCTTGAGCAATCCCTCCTGAGGATTTCCCCTGTGCGTTTGGAGAAGCTGAGACCCAAGCTGAGCAATCATGCAGGGATACCACGCTGGCAGCAGACAAGTCCTGGAGAACTAGGCTCCCTGGCCTGCCCAGCCCCCTCACCCACACCCTCTGCCAGCATAAAAGGGAACTTATTTAAAAGGCCAGGATGCGGGGGCCCTGTGGACTGCAGGAAGGACAGAAGAGGCCGGACTATGGTCCAAGGTTCCAGATAAAAGATTAACAAGCAAGTGTCTTTCCCAGACACAGGCTGGCATCGTGAGTGGGCGGGAGAGCCAAAGGATGGGGCCCTACCAGGTCCGGCCGCATGCCCCTGGGTGCCCAGCAGTGGCAGGTGGGGGTAGAGCCTAAGGGACTCATGGGCCCTGCTGTAACTCTGTCCTCACCACCATGCTCTGGTCCGGGAGAGGGTCCAGCTGGGCCTTAGTTGCTCTTTTGTTTCTTATGCGCATTTAACCCACTCACTTCATTTTCCCTGCTGTTTCTCCTCTCCCTGAAGCTTTATTTCTACATGGTGAAAAAAAGAGGTCTTAAAGGTGGCCCAGTACAAAATGCTCTAGATCTGGGCCCAGAAAGCAAGGGATCAGAGCATAAACCCAGTCAGGGGGTGGGAGACACACAGGGCCCAGTGTCCCTGGGAGAACTGTGGGTAGGACAGAAAGACAGACCGACACCTTCTGGAGCCAGGTGTTTTCACAGGCATCTGGGGTCCTTCACGGACACCAGGGAAGGGGATGTCCCTGCAGTTGGACACTTTAAGCAGGGGAGGGACAGATGGGGATTTGACTGTGGGCCTGCAGAGAGTAAATGAGGGGGCATGGCGTCCAGGCTATGGGCATCAGTGAGGGATGGCTCCAGGTCTCCAGGCTTTGAGGGGTCAGGAGGAAGTAGCCCCTGGCCTTCAACCTGTAGGGGGTCAGTGAGGGGTGGCCAGGGGCCTCGGGGAGGTCTGTGGGCCTCGGCCTGCATACAGAAAGTGGGCTTGGCCCAGGGATGGGTACAGAAACCCTGACAGGGTCTGAGCATCCCGGACTGGGAAGATGGGGACCTGGGAGGGGACTGGATGCTATATACTCAGGAAGCAGACATGGGAGGTAAAGTTCTCTGGAATGGCACGAGATGGATGCTCTGGATCCCAGCATGTCTTGTGATGCTTGGGCTGTGGCTGGGTGTCCCACCTGTGCCGTGATCCTGTGTGCCGGATCTAAGGTCTCCACAATTCAGGCTCACGCCTCCTGTGACTGGGAGTAGGTCACGCATTCTGCAGATAAGGAACCCTGAGGGAGGTAAGGAATCGGTGCCTTGGACATGGCTGCTGCCAACTGTTTGTGTCAGTATCAGGCCCTCAAATCTTGGGGTGGGGAGGGCTGGGGCCTCAGGAGACTCCCCGGGCCTGGGCTTTGCTCCTTGTGGCCTCCAGCAAGTGACTTGGGCACACTACACCTCGATTAGGTGGAGTAAAGGAAGCTGCACCAGGCATGGTGGCGCACCTGTAATCCCAGCATGTGGAGGCTGAGGCAGGAGGATTGTTGCAAGTTTGAGACCAGCCTGGGCTACAAAGTGAGCTCAAGGCCAGCCTGAACTGCATAGTGAGAGCCTGTCTCAAAAAGACAAAAAATAAAGGAAGCTGAGCCTCGGGGCTCTCTGGGTGGAAGGTGCCCTGAGATACATAAGGGGGCAGGGCTGGTCCGGCCCTGGTCATGGCCCATCCGTCCTACTATGGCTCCTTTCCCCAACCGTTGCATTTTATTTTTAAAGGAGGAACTATTCCAGCAATACAGTTAGGGGCTGGGGCTTTCTCCCTGTGAGACGCCCTGGATGACTGGCTAGAGAGGCAGGCTCTGATGCCAAGGTCCAGGCGAGGACTGAAAGTAAACCTCCTTCTTGAGTCTTTCAGAGATGGCTGTGGTTCATCCCTTGCCCCCTCCCCTTCCCCTGGGTCCTCCCAACCTCAGGCACAAGCTCCTATGCAGCCTGCCCAAGCAGTTACAGGGCTGGTATCTACTTTATGGTGCTTGTGCTCCAAGCTGGTTTGTGCTTTTATTTAACTCTTTTTTTTTTTTTTTTTGGAGGCAGGGTCTTGCTATATAGTTCAGCCAGCTCTTGAGCACCTTTCACTTTGTAGCCCAGGCTGGCCTTGAACTCATGGCAATCCTGCCTCAGCCTCCCAAGTGCTGGGACTATAGGCGTGTGCCACTACACCGGGCTATTTAATTCCTTAACGTGAAGATATATCCTGGGTTTATTACAGACCGGTGGGGTGGTCACTTTCTTTGGCTGTGGCTGGTGACTTCACCCTTTATCCCCTCCATTAGTGAGGCTCAGTGACAGGCAGGAAGTCTGTGCTTTAAGATACGTGGCCCCTGGGTTGTAGGAGGTAAGCATCATGCGGTGTATCTCAGGCCTGCATTTGCTTCTAAGGATGAGTATTACCCACCCACCCACCCCACACACAGCAGAACCTGGCCACAGAGTACAGGATGTGGCTGTTGACAGTATGAGCCTGGCTGGGATGTCTCCGTGCCTCAGCCTCTCTTACCCCTGAGTCCATGATGCTCTAAGATGTGTTTAGGGAAGTGGAAGCTGGTGATTGTGGTTTTCTTGCTGAGGCATCTCATGCAGTCTTCATCCACCCCGCCTGGTGTGGCGTGTGCAGGTGGGGATGCAAGTCCATGGCGGGAAGTGACCAGGGTCTTGCCGGTAAGACCCTGATAAATCCTGGCTAACCCTTAACCCAAATCCTCAGGCTTCAAAGCTGGGCCTGGCTGCATTAGGGATACAGAGATCTGGGCCCAGGATGGAGTTGGACAGCCACCCCCACTCACCAGGGGCTTCCTAGTCTGGAAGGGGGGAAGGGCTAGTTCCCTGGCAGCCAGACTGCTTGGAAATTCCCCCAGCCTTATTTCTTTCAAGCACCCAGCAGAGGAGAAAGGGTTTCATAACTACACCCCAGGTC